TGCAAAAGAGTCAGATGAAACCATGCGTTGATCGCAGTATAATATTACGGTTCGTGTTCAACGTGACAGTTGATTTGCTGACTTCACAACATCAAGTGTTTTTCATAAATTGTCTCAGCTGTTTAATTGATTATTAGTTCCTCTATTCAATCTACTCTAAAATAATAGAGTAAACTTAACTTTATTTAAAAAACCATTGATTAGTTGTGAACTTTCAAGTATGAGTTGGATTCCAATGAAATTTACCATAAATCCACGTTTAATGTCTCGCATGTAAAATAGCCATTTGCGCAACTGCTCCACAATACCCTGCGTGCATTGCTTCGTCCAACAACCACTCGAATAGCTAGCTACCGTTTCACACTCGGCCATCAAGGAGTGACGTGTTGAAAAATATAATGACGCTAGAGTCTTACGACAATCGGTAGCACACTTGCGAAGCCCGCGACGGCCAACAGCGCTGCCACCAACAACAGAGCAGAGGCGCGACAGTTTTTTCGCGAAAGTCGACGCCTCGATACTCTTACGGTGACAATTTTTCACTTCAGTTGCGAAGAGTGAGCGATAGCGAGCGTTCCGTGCCACGGGATAAACGATTTTTAGCTCGTTATACCAGTGCACCAAATCTCCTAAGAGTGAAATTCAAGTTCAAAGCAAAATAATTGTGTAACTTCATTGAAGCAAGTATTTTAGTTTCTCTAAAACAATAGAAAAATATTATGAATATTGTGCAATATAATGAAAAATTTATTTCTTTTTTTAAATATTTAATAAAATTTTCGTTTCGTTAATTTTTTCGCAGCTGTTGCCAAAGGCAACAACACGAAGCACACCGTGCATATTTATGTATATTGAGTAATCAAAGTGAAAATTCAAAATATAAAAGGCAACAAAAAGAAAATTGTTGTGTCCAAGTGGGCGCGCGCACAACAACTCTCGGCGGCAAATTGTATTCAAGTATTTTCGCTTATGTTATATGTGCTGTTATTTTGGTCGCGCTGTATGACGTATTGAGGCACGCCACGGTCGGGCGCTCGTCCACGCTCGCCCGAATACACCATCTTTGTTGCTTCCTAGTTGCGCGCGCGTTTTTAGCGGCTCTTCAGAATTTCGACTAAAAATCTTTATGTTGCTTTTGTGGTCACCGTTTTCGGGCTGTTGGTGTTGTTGTCACCATCGAAACGTGCGGTGAGAGTCGTTACTGTATTTAATTTGCGCGCCTCATAGCAAACTTAGCGCAATAATAAATTCACTTTGTTGTAATACTGAGCTAAGTGAAAGAAGTCTCAAGAAACAACAAAAAAATTTGCAAAAAGAAAACAACACGAAACTATTTTTTTTTTGTAATTTTTGGCTAGGAAAATATTCGTTATGCGTTCATTGGCACAAAAATACGATGAAGGAAGCTGAGCGCGGCAAAAAAGTACGAGTACAACTCGTGTGAATGTGATAAAGTGAAGCGCAAACAAGATGAAATAATAGAAAATTAGAAAATTCACTAAAATGCGCTGTTTGCTGTGTGACATAATGTGACTGAAAAGCGTTGTGGAAATGTTGTCAACCTCAGCAGCACCGCAGCCGATGAGCGCGCGCAAGTGTATGTTTGTGTGTGTTAGTGCATCACTTTATAATGTGCAAACATCATAAAATAAAACGCTAAACAGCGAGGTATTCAAAATGGTGGATAAAATTAAAATAATAATTGAAAAAATAATTTAGATTGCAAATAAATTATAAAAGAAGCACGAGCTGCCAAAAATTAATCGCAAAAATTATTTTTGAAGCTAGTGCAAAATTTAGTGTAGCGTTTGTGTTAAAAAAATGTAAACCGTGTTTTTATTGCGACAAACAAATTATCCCAGTTATGGAAGATTTCGCTTTTGCGCTCAACGAAAGTGCTACCACAAACGTCATGAGCAATGTAAGGCTAATGAATAAATAACATATTTATGCATTCTCTTGATTTTGATTTTAAAATATTCTACCAGTTTTCGCAATTTTGGTAGTATAAACTAACTACTCTATTATCATAAACACTCGTAAACTTTTCCTTCCTCTGCATCTCTTCATGTCACTTTTATAAAAGGTTGGAAGTGGCATATTTCATTAATACCTTTTGTTGCTTCTAAAAAAATCAATATTTATCAAATCACATCAGCTTCGAAAGCTGGTTCCGCCCCGAAGCTCGCAGAATGATACACAACCCTTATTGAACTGAAATCTTATCATTATTATTTGACTGTTTTTAGACCTCCTACAACTTATAATGAAATTATTGACCAAACATAACACAGTATGTAATTAATATCCCCGTATTTGCACCATCTATTTTTCGCATATAAAAATTCATATGATTTTGAATTGAGCAATCGAAGCAATAATATCACTATGTTATGTTGTATTATGCCTTCATCAGCTTGTTATGCATTTATGTGCCTGTCTCTTTATTCCCACTTGTGCATATGCAAGAATTAATGGCATTGAAAACAGTCATTAAATACTAAAAATGCTTGGCTGTGAATTGGCAGTGAACCAGTGCGTATGAGTAACACTTACCTACAATGACTTTACACAAATGCATATATATATGTATGTGTGTAGGTATGTACAAGCGTAGTAGCCGAAATTGATTTTTAATTGAGAGTAAAACTTTGCCAACACACCGGTTCCTTAATAAATTCATTCTCAACTGTGTAAATAATACGATTAATATGCAACATTTTGATTGTTTTTCTCTTCCGATTTCATTTATTTTTAGTTTAGTTTATTTTGTTTAATAGCAAATTTATCGCTTATTAAGTCACGAAACTTTGCATTATATTTGTTTTCAATGCAACATTCTTATATTGTTTACATTTTTAAGATTTGGAAGTAGTTTTATTAGAGTGTCAGAAACGTATACGCGGCGCCATATAATAACAAAGGAGAGTACATTTGTTTTTTATATTCTCTCTCCACTCTTATGAAAACATTATTTTTTGAGTTCGAAATTTTCAACTTTAATTTAGTAATGAATTGTTGTTCCCAACTTTGTTTTTATTTCGAAAGTATTTTTTTCCATGCTAGAAAGACTAGAAATTGTATACGTTATCTTTCAAAATCGAGCTAGAATGCAGAAAATTTTTTAGTTTTCGAAAAACGAGATGGCATTGCAAAACGTACCAGAATATGTAATAGCGAATAAAGTAATCCGAACAGGCAGAAAAGTGCATGTTTTGCTAATTTTCTTGGCAAGTGTTTATTGTTTGACGAACATTTTTTTTAAACTAATTACAATATAGAGAATAATCAAAATAATTATAATTTTTTGTTTTGAAATTAAGTTTTAATTAAAAAATACATTTATATTTTATTGTCTAAATATTAAACTTATTAAAAATTTATTATAATGTTTTCGATCACCTTTGCTTTTTATGACAACCTGAATAAGTGTCTCATCTTTGAAATTACGACAAAGGTTCTCGTTGGGATTGCTATTGCCTGGGTAGTAATAACTGAACAATATAAAAAAATGGTTCTCAAAGATAGTACAAAATGCTGCCCAACGTTGCCAGATCTACATCCCCTTATTAAAAACTCATCCCCAGAACATTCCGGATCCTGCTCGCTTGACTGTCCGTTTTAGGCATTTTTGAACCGTTCTCGACTTTACGTCGCACGTAAGACATGTCATCCAAACCGGAAAAGTTGATTTTGACTTCATTAAAAATATAAAATTTCTCCAAACGTTTAAGGTCCAGGATTTGTGTAGTTTAGGTATGGTAGTCTTTTAAGGGTACATATTTTTTTTGATGTCGCCGCTCCGCTGGGTGCTAATTTCGAATGCTTTCTATTAAAAGTACTCGGTCCTTACATCTTCTTCTTCTTCTTGCAGTATTAAGCTGATTTCACGTGCTTAAATGCTTTGGGATTTGGTCCTATGGTATATATAATCTAAAGATAATCTATTAAATAATATGTAAACAAGCTTATTGCATTGAGTTATAATTATGATCAATCTAATAAATTGGACTCCAAAGTTTGAGAATTCATCTTTGGATTCATCCTTTAAACATATTAATAAAAAGTTTAACTGGCCACCAAGCAGTGTTTTTTTTTTATTGATTTCAGATAACTGCTCATATTCTACTTCTCTACCAAACGATACCACCATTCTACACCATAGAGCTATTATGATATCTTAAATTGTGTGATCGGACTTACGTCTAAAATAATTATCCAATTCTATTTGATCTTGATATTTCTATATACATATTTGAAGATTTATATTTTTTCATGAGTATAGAAACTGCTTATGAGTTATTTTTAGCTTAATTTAACATTTTTAAACCATATCAATATAAAATGTGTATAAAAATGATAAAGACATGAAGGAGTAAGCGACTTAATATTATGTAGATTTCTTTCCCATACTACATACTCATACCTGTGTTTTGTTTTACTGACTCTTTAAAATTTCAGTTAAAAATCTTCGCAGTTAAGCTATAAGGTTTGTTTGGCGCTAATATTCCATCAAACCTACCGTTTAACATACATTTTATATTTTTTTCACATTTATTTCTAGGCCTATATGCCACAAAATACTGTTAGCACTATAAGTGGCGTAGAAGCTCCATTTTTGACTCAGTGTGTTTATTAGAACTCATTGAATTTTCTCACTGTAATCACACAAATTCACGTATATTCTTTACAAGGACTAGTTGTATATAGAAATAATCACTTATAAGAACCATACTATAACATTTTCATTGCTGCAATAAATTAGCGGTCAACTTCTTATTTATATACATATAATAGTATAGTATAGTAGTAGTATAATAGATATACATATAAATATAGATAAAAGGATACACCACATTATAAAATCACATTCATAATATTTATGTTTATATTTCAATGCCTAGTCATATAATGCTTTAATCATATCGAACCTTATTTATTTTAAGATTTTTTTTACTCAAAATTAAAATAAAAATTTATAATCACTTCACACATTGCAGGGGATGTCGGGGTGTGACCAAAGCACTGTCGAATCATTGGCCGAAGATCCAACAGATTCACCATTCGCTGCCGATGAGTGTCTCAAAGTACGCAAGTACTGGTGTTTTTTGCTCTCCAGCATATTTACCTTCCTTGCTGGGCTATTTATTGTGCTACTATGGCGAGCATTTGCGTTCATTTGCTGCCGCAAGGAGCCCGATTTGGGACCCAACGATCCCAAACAGAAAGAGCAGAAGGCGTCACGCAACAAACAAGAGTTCGAGGGTACCTTTATGACCGAAGCCAAAGACTGGGCTGGCGAGCTTATATCGGGACAAACGACAACTGGTAGAATTTTGGTAAGTAAAATGAACAATATTTTGTTTACAATAATATATTTTTTCTTTGCGCTTGAAAAGTAGATTGATAGACCAAAAATACTTTTCAATTTCTAATTTGAGACAGTCTTGGATAAATTGAAAAACTCTTTAGCACTTGAACAGCCGCGTTTTCTTGATATGTCTTAGCATTACACTTAACTTTCACCGTACTAAACGCGCATTCCATTGTTGTTATTAAAGGTATAATTGCAGTGTTGGGTAACATTGTTGCCTCGACTTAATTGGTCATTCTACGTTTCATTTTAACACACATATCTTTTATGTTTCTTCTTTTTCTTGGTGCACCATGGCGTATGCGTGACTTTTTAATGTTCAATTTTATTTTATAACCCACCACAAGCTGGCTAACCAAGTGAATGGCCACATAATATAACGCCCACTTGGTGAATGGCTCGATCTGACATGAATCTACATAGTAAAGAAACTAAATAAGTAGCCGTTGCCGTTCGCTATTGACCATAATCGTGAGGGCTGCTTTTATGAGCTGTGAGTTTAAAACACCTAACTAAACGAAAAGTGTGTGTGTGTTTGTACGACTTAAGTCGGAAATTGTGGCACTTAAACTTCCGAGTTTTGACATGCTAAACGTAGCCTTTGGGCGCACAGTCAGTTTGCTTCATTGAAATTCGCCGTATCAGTCTTTATACATTTTGATTTATGCAATGGAAATGCATTTATCGCCATTTTTATGATAAGCGAGCATTTATAACTATGGAAATGGTAGGTTTTAAAACTAAAATAATAAACTAGCGACGATTTTGTACCGTTAAACAGTAAAGGAAACTCTTTACTTATATTTTTAGTGTAAATATACTGGAAAATTCAATGCAAATAGGGATTTCTTTTAATTAATTGCCTGTTAAAATGATTGCGCATTTTATAAATTTAGAATTTTACAAAATTATTTTTTACCACGCCAACACACAACTATTGGCGAGACGAGTGTTTGCACTTGGTATATAAATGCAAAAGTGAAAAATGTGCACTGTTGTTGTTTGTTGTATAAACAATTTTTGTCTGCATGCCTGTACACATACATGCACACTTCGGCGAGCAGCCGGTTATTAGCGCAAAGAAAAGGTCGCGTCAATGGCATTACACACTCGTTCATATGCACTTGCCAGCCAACAATATTACGTACTTGTACGCACATACATATGTATGAAGTATAGTATATCTAACGGTGCACGACACGCTGTAGAATCACTGCGGTTGATTGCAACGTTCCGCTGCTGTCGAAGTGCCAACATGAATTTCACATTTCTACTTTAATTTGCATACTTGCACTCGCGCATTTTCCCCCATTGTGTTTTTTGGCTTCGCGATTTTTGTTCTTCAAACGGTTAACCCTTGAAAACTGAAATTGGACACGGTCAAGTGCACTTGTATGTGCGGCATGCTGCATACTTGCGCTCTTTATTACATTTATATTCGTTTATATGCTTGTATATGCATGTGTTATGTTCATACATATGACAAAATGTAGTGATTAGAAACCGATTCTTTAACCGGTAATTTGTGGACTAATATTTGCCCTGAGTATTTTGTTTCTTTTATTTTTCGCGGTTTCACAACCCTCAATTGTAATTATATGGAACCTTTCTTCGGTTTAAGAGAGAGTCCATAGAAAATAAATAGTCCATTTTCTATTTTGCACCAGGATATTTCGAACATTCTCGCTATGTAGTACAAGTATATTTTAGCCTATTTTAGAAAACTTTAAATAGTTTCACACATTTTTACAACCCGTAGGTAATGCACCAAAATCGTATTTGCTCCCAATGCCAAGCTACCTTACCTTTTAAACTATAACTTGCATTATATCTACCCATTGATTTGAAAAATCTGAGTCAAACTGGCTGTCAGCTGGTACTCAATAAAGTTATAGCACTAACACTTTCTAACTACTGTTGGCACCACATAATCAAAATCGGTTTATAATACGCAAATATAACGGTACTTTAAACTTTATCCACCTACCACCTAACAAATACATCATAAGCAGAAACAAAGAAATCCTTAGAAATCCATGTGCTCGCTTACTTTTTTAAATGGGTAGAGTCGGTTCAAAGCTGTTTCAAGTGAGTTACTTGTATGTTTTTATCCCATATTTAGTCGTCAATGTAAGAGATGTGCCTTTAGTATTTGTGTTTTAGAATTTAGAATTGTATAGTACTTGATTTTATTTATACTAGATATCTCAAAATATAATATTTCACTATTTTTTCGAATATCAAGGGCTCGAATGCAAGATTCCACCCGATCTTATAGTGTTTCTTGGTTACGTTATTGAATTATTTTGAATAATTCCAAAAATATAGATTCTTCAAGTGTTTTTAGTTTTCGTAATTACTTCATTAATCGGCATTACCATTGATCGTCGTTATCGGTGTTCTAAACATAGGTAAAGTGGGTTGTTTGCAGGATTATATGGGCTGATTCATATTGTACCTGTCGTCATTATCTTACTACCCGATAGTGCCAATTCAGTCTCTTTCGTCTACGATCACAAACATCATAGCTTCCTCTTGTGCCTGAGTGTAATCCTGGATCTATGTTATTACTAAGAAAGCTTCCCATGCATTTTAATTTCTTATAAAGTTAAGTGAAGGTTCCTTGGTTTTTATTCTTGATGTAAACTACGAATATTTATTTCAGATAGCTACAGTATTTACCTATAGCCAAGCAATAAATATTTGCATAAGTACAGCAACAAAAAATATCCACGTTAAATATAATTTTTGACGTTATAAAAAATTTTGACGTACGATAGTATTAAGCAGAATTATATTAGAATAGCGTCGTCGTAAATATTCTGAATTTATTATTCGTTAATTTTTTTATTTTAAAAATACTGAAATGGAACATATAGTGCTTACATCGTAACAAAAACAACATTTTCTTCACATATAAGTTCTGATTAGTTGTTTTTATCAACGATAAACTTATGAAAGTTATTTTTGATTGAACATCTTTCTATTCATAACAAGTACAATATATTAGAACTATGCTCTCTCATCACAAAAATTACATGTGAAGCCAACATAAATGTTATCGACTTCAACTTAGTACAAGGCTGTTTTAGCATTCCTTATTTAAGTGGTACAACCTCATTTAATATGCCAGAATATTTGTTTTATAGTTCAATTCGCTCGACTTAAAAGCCAAGTGGAAGACAGCTAAGATTACACGTGATTTTGAGCATGCCGGTTGATAGTAGGGCGCTAAAAATTTTTCTGAATTTAATATCCAGAACCATTTCTGTTACTTGGATCAGTCGAGTCAATTTCTTTGTCATACCTTTATATTTTACTTTATCATTATTAACGTGTTTGAGAAAGATACAGGTACTGTGTGTTTTACTACAGGGCTATGTTTGCTCTCTCGTACACATGTCCACGCAAATTCATGACTGTGCGACACTTGTTCGCGCATATGGCACTTTTTCGGCTTACCCGGCATATAATAAATTTTTCATTGGTCACAACATTGACATAGTTTTTCTGACTGCCATTTGCTCATATCTATTTTCTTTTTCTTTTTTGTTCGTTTTATTTTTTGTGAATTTTACATTTTATTGTTCAATCGCCTGCTATGTTTCACGTTAGTAACGACTCATGTTTTTTAGTCCCTTTTACTATATGAGTATACATTCGCTCGTCAACTGAGTGCCATTTGCCGCTTGAATGTCAATATCGCGTGCTAATTCCATTGGTCCGACATGTAAAGGGCGTTATGTTTAGAAAAAGAAACGATTTTTATTACTAAATAATTTCCTACTCGATATTTTCACTCACACATTCTGGTGCATGTGGTCATATGCAGCAAATGTAGTCATGAATATTTATGATTTTTACATAGAAAGCGATGTAGTGGTGTGTGTATCTTGAATATATCGAAAAGCGAAAGTAAAAATATTTTACTTGTGATGGATAATAATATAATGGTGGATTATTAAAAGTAATGGGTGGACATGTGAAAATAAATTACTTCAATATCGTGCGTGAAATGGACTTAAAATCTTTCCACATCGACTGTGATTTATAAGTATCTCTCAGGCACGTACGCAGGCACAACTTTTCGAAATTCTGGAATGATCTTATTATTAGTGTTGCATACATTTTTTATTGAGATTGTTATCTTGCCGTTGTTTTTGAAGAGGTACTTAATATGTTCTGGATCTCGATAGTCGAATGTTATGTATTTTTTTTTCGGAGGAATGTTACTTACACTCGGTGTATCTTGCATATAAAAGTGTGAAAAATAAATTGCCTGAAGGTGTTTATCTATCGGCAGATAATGTCGAGCCTTTGAATGTAGTTCTGACTTAGAAATGATTTTCATCAAAATTCAGCAATTATTTTGAGGTGAGTTGGTACCCAAATTTGAATTAATTATGTATTCAAGAAGTTGAAAAAATTTGGAAGAATAAACATTTTAGTTCAAAGTACTCAAACTTTTTACTAACAACTGACAATGAAAGTTTTTATAATTAAAATGTATAAAAAAATCTCTTTATAAAATCGGAATATAATTTTTTGGTTAATTTTCTAGCTTTACACCATCATACGCTCTCCCTCATTATAAATATAATTCGCAGGAGAATAATTAAAGCAGTCTGACGGCTCAAAAGCCCTTCCTATATTTAATAGATATATAGAGATCTTTCTACAGATATTAAATGTATCTATAAAATTCATAAGGTTTGAACATTAAAAGAAAGCAAAGCCTAAATTTTAGACCGCAACATATACTTAATTGGCATCTTATTTCCAAAATTTAAACTTCAATCAGCTTTGCTCATTTGTCTTCATAGCGCTGTCATTTTAATATTTGCTACAATCTTTTTTTGTTTTTTCTGGAGTCAACTTACAGCGCGGCCACCGTACATGCAGATGTTATTGTTGTTCCAAAGCAGGGCGTTGATTACGTGTTTGCTCGTGCTTCCCTAAGGTAAA